TATTGTTTTTCAGCTCACGTATTGCCTTTTTAACCTCGTCTAGCGTTGGAGGCTCCACAGCTTGATCGTCGTCTGCGATGTTTACTCTGTTCCTCGATACTCCCTCACTCTCTCCATTCAACAATGTCTCAAAATGTTCTTTCCACCTGGCAGCCACCATTGTTTTATCTGTCAGCAAATTCCCCTCAAGGTCATTGCACATGGCGGGAGATGGCGCTGTTTTACTCCGCACACCATTGACAGTCGCGTAGAACCTTCGCATATCGTTCTGTTCCATACTTTCTTGCGCCTCAGCAATCACGCGTTCTTCGTATTGCCTTTTCTTTCTGCGGTGGGTTCGTTTCTCAGCTGCCCTTGCTACCTTGTACCGCTCTCTGTTCAGCCGGGTACCAGACACTAACATCCGGCTTCTGGCAACGTTCTTCTCATCCGTCAACCTCTGGCACTCCTCATCAAACCAGCCATTACGTGGTCGTCTTTGAGCTGTACCTATCACTTCTTGTGCTGTTGTGTTCACCGCTCCGTGGATTGTGTTCCACAGATTGTTGAGGTCCTCGTTCACGTTGATTTTGCTAATCCGCTCATCAAGCTTCTGGCGGTACTCTGCAGCAACACCTTCTACTGACAAGCGATGGATATTGAAACGCATCGATCTCCGGTTCGTTGAATTCGTAACGGTCGATAGACGCGCCCGAATTTTGCAGACAACAAGATAATGATCTGAGTCAATGTTAGGCCCCCTAAAAGTCCTTACATCAATGACATCTGAGAAGTGCCGGCCATCCACCAACATGTGATCGATCTGGGTGCAAGTTTCGCCATTTGGGTGTCTCCAGGTGTGCTTTCGGATATTCTTGCGTGCAAAGTAGGTGCTACTGATGGCCATACCTCTAGCAGCGGCGAAGTTTATCAGTTTCAGGCCGTTATCATTGGTTACTGTATGTAGGCTCTCTGTACCAATGATTGGACGAAAGAAATCTTCCCTCCCGACCTGCGCATTTGCATCTCCGATTACAATCTTCACGTCGTGTTTTGGGCACTCATCATAAGTTTTATCGAGACTGTCATAAAACGCGTCCTTCACGTCATCGGATTTATCGTTGGTTGGCGCATAGATGTTGATCAGGCTGTAGTTGAAGAATTTGCCCCGAATCCTTAATACACAGATGCGGTCGCTTACCGGTCTCCACCGCATAACACGCTTCATCTGCTTCCCGATCACTATGAACCCTACTCCATGTTCTGCCCTATCGCCACCGCTGTGATAGATATGATACTTGAAGGAAGTGTTGGCGATGGGATCCACCGCCCGGAATTCACGTTCTCCGGATCTAGGCCACCGTACTTCCTGAATAGCAGTTACGCTCACATTCACTTTTTGCAGTTCACGAGCCAAAAGGCCCGCTCGTCCAGGTTCATTTAAGGTTCTGACATTCCAAGTACCGAGTTTCCATTCATTGTCCTTATTTCTTTGCCGGGTCGGTTGCCGAAAATTCCGTTCGTTGTTTTCTCTTTCTTCGTTTTTCTGAGTAATGTTGGGGGTTTCAGTATGCTACCTTACCGGGGTCGCGATACCTACATCATGTTGGTGGGGCTGCCACCTTAGGTGTAGCTGACGTGATACAGCATTTCTTATTCAGCCGCTCGCTCCGAGACAGACGCTGTTTGAGCCGCACCTCCATGGTGAACAGACGCTCGAGGGTCGCACCTCCTCACTTTGCTATCACCACGATCCGGATCCATGTTTTTATCATGGTGACATTGCCCAGGCTACGCTACCAGCATCTTTTGCTGGCGGTCTTTGTCATCGGCTGACCCGTGGAAGCGTGAGGTAGGAACTTGTGAGGACCAGAGCTGTTGGGACAACACTCCTTCCAGTTTGTCGACTCACCATTTGTCGATCCTTATTGAGTTCCAAATCCTGGAACATGCCTTGCGGATCCCACTCTGTAGGTCTCGGTGCTAATGAGCGGAGAATCGAGATTTAGCTTTACACGGGACCAAAAAGTGTCGCGTTGAATTACCTGCTGCTGATCTTAATCCCGTCTATTCTGGACAATCACTCGATGCTGCGGTAAACGTGCTCGCGGCATAGGAAATCATACTAGGGAAAATTTAGCTGTATAAGCCTATTGTAGGCTGTCAAAGCTAATCTTCAGCTAAAATTATTGGATGGGCTATAAGCAGTAGACTGATGCAAATTTTGAAATTTTCGCTCCACAGTGTTCAAACGGTTTCAAATCGGGTCCTGATTAGCCTCCAAAAGTTTAAACTCATTTGATAAGAGACTGACTTGGCACAAACCATTTGAAGTTTATATGGAAATTACTATGGGAAAACAAATCTTTCTGTTCATTGTCTTTTAGCCTTTTTACATATTGTACTGTTAACAAATTCTATTGCTATTCTTATGGGAATTTTTATCAGCTACAACTTTGCAGGAAATCGTTTTTCAGCCAAACGTCAAATTAAATAGTTATCAATTGTTTAAGAGATTAAGCAACTGTATTGTGGGCAATATTGTATTCTGCAGTGGGACATAGTATAGCCATGATTTTTGTCCTCTATTCTACGCGCTATAAACACCAATGTTGCCTGCTGAACAGTTGATTGAGCATAATCATAGGACATCAGTGACTTGAATCATTAATAACTTTTGTTCCTTACATTTGATCGAAAATTGGTTGCAACTAAGAAAATTTTCAACAAGCTCAACTGTCATTTTTTAAAGTAGAGTAAACTGATAAATTTTGAGATAGATATGAACCGAAATGATGGTTTTTCCATAGTAATTCCCATATAAACTTCAAATGGTTTGTGCCAAGTCAGTTTCTCACTAAATGAGTTCAAATTTTTGGAGCCTAATCAGGGCCCAATTTGGAATCGTTTGAGCACTGTGGAGCAAAAATTCCAAATTTTGCATCAGTCTTATGAGCAGTCATTAGAACATCATTGTCCGTTGTGCGGTTTTAAACTGTTTTGTTTTTCAAAATTGGGTTCCATTCATAACTGTGGAGATAGTGAACAGAAGGAGAGTCATGTGATGTAAATTTATCAAACTAAGAATTGTACGTGCAAGGTCTTGTCACGTCAATGCATAATCCCTTATTAAAAGTTTGTTCAGCAACGGTTTCCATCTTTCCTTAGCGATCCGTCTAGAATGCTGTTCGTCTTCGTAACCCACCCATTATCAGCCATAAAACAGAACGCGAGTTGATAAAAAAACGATCTGAAACCCGAACCAAAAGTGTCTGCAAAATGACGCCTATAGCATGGGGATAGCAAGAACAACCAACAGCTTTCTCAAAGTTCGCGTGACGACGGTTCATGGGTGTAAGTGATATCCTTCCTAGCCGAAGAAAGACAAACCCCATCCTAGCGTTGCCTGCCGGCTTCCGCCACCAACTGTGCAGAATTACCTTCAGAGTTTCCTTTCGCACACGACCCAAGTTCAATCACGTCGTCGTCGTCGTCGGCGGCGTCGTCGTTTCTGTCAGTTTGTGTTATACCTACTCGGTCAAGGCAGGTGGCGCGTTGTGGGTAGCGAGCGAGCGAGCGAGCGGTGGCGCGTTGTTCTTCGGTCTGTGGCCGTCAGCGAACAGCTGCCTCCTGCGGTAGATACGAAATAGACGAGGACGCTTGGTTCATTGTGTCGCTGTGCGGGTTGGATGGATTAGGACGACGGATGAAATGCCAACACCAAAAGCGGAAAGAATGAACAACTTGGCGGTGGTGGTCGGTTTGGTGGCGAATGATCTGTAACGTGAATCTTTGTGTGGCTTTATGCTTTGGGAGGATTGCTTTTCTCCCGGGAGCTTTTCCTAGAATTGTAACCATTCAGGTTGGGGTGGTTCTTTGGGTTGATTCTGGGATGGATGAGCGTCGGTGGGAAACCATGGAGACGCACAGTTGCTCAATAAGCTCTACATTTTCGTCCAATAAGCATAATTAAGATGAAGTTGTTTAATTTAGGGATGAGGTTGGTATTCATCAGAAGGGAGACTCTATTTTAAATTGAGGTTAAATAATATTTTTCATTGCTCCTTTCTGCGTATGAGCTTGGAATAAGTTTTCCCTATGATGACGATAATCTCTTTAAATAGGAGTAGAGTTACTACGTATACATTGTATCTTGTAGGCTTTCCTTAATTTTAGTTATTGCATCAACATTATATATGGTTCGCTTTATTAAGAAAATCATTTAGTAGCTGAACAACTTAATTTCAAGAAAAAATGCACTGTATAAAAGCTTCCAATGTTAACTATGTTTAAAATTAATTTTAATGATGATAATTGGTTTTACTTACCAGACCTGTTGGTCTTGATCGTTATTTGCGAAATCGAATTAAATAAAAAAATACAGTTTAGAATGATTATTCCCCGATGTTAAACTGCTAGTTTTTCATTCGAATTTGACTCAGAAAGAACTGAGTAGACTTTTTTTTTTAATCACGTTGAACATTGCTCGTAGAATATGCCACAACTTCACCATTCAGGCACCCTAGAACACACCTTCCCGGTGTTCCTCGTGCTTCGAAAGTTTCATCCTGCTTCGACAGCAGAGCCAAGCTCATAAACACAAAACTGCCGTAAGAATACGAGAAAGGGCAGTCGGTGTCGCGTCACGTTGTTGTCTGACTCAGCTAGAACATCATCTGATGGAACCCAACCAGTTCGGTAGCATCACATCAGCCAACCAGCCAGCCAGCCAGCCAGTTCGGTTTTGGGTGGTGGCATCTGTGTAGTAGTAGTCAATGTGTGAGTGTGTGAGTGTATGCGCGTTGCGGAAAAGTCCCTTTTTAGTTGTCCGCTTCTCGCTGGCAAGCAGCCTCTCGTGTACTCTCGAATATCGGAAGCGGCAGCAGCTAGCATCTCTCATGTTGCCAGACTAGCTATGTAGCTAGCACGTCCGAACGGCAATAACAACGGCGGCGTCGAGCGTTCAGTTTAGTAAATTTTTCGCTTTAGTTGAGTCTGTCGTTTCATTTCGAAAGCATCTCAACCGGTGGATGCTGCAGGAGAAAAAGCGGTCCGCTTGAAGAAAAACGCGCGCGCGGTCAAATTCCGTACCGTTGTGGATCGTTTATAGTGAGATTGCTTTTATTTCATTATATAATTTGTGTTATGGTGTCATAAAAAAAAACTTCTTTTATTTAACGAGGTAGACTAATTCGTAAACGAGTATTATTTTCTGAGATGCGATCAAACTAGTGATTACAAAGTTTTTATTCCTAATAAAATTTCGAGTGATATAGCATCGGCTTGGTTCAACGCAAGGAAACGGTCGGAAATACAAACACGTGTACGTATCCGTGGAGAGGAGGTGATTCATTCGGACATGACGAAGAGCAACTGCAAATCGAACGATTTATCGCTTATTATCTGTTGATTATGCGGATAACCGTATGTTGCCGAAATTCTTTTGGCGAAGATTTCCTCTGCATTTTATGACCTTTCGGAGAGGCACATGATGATAGCCGCATGCAGGGTGGCTGGCGATGCTGATATGCAAGAAGGAAATTCTTTTTCTCATTCTCGGCTACGGAAGGGAAAACACATAAACGAAAAGGATATGTGTTACTCCTTCAGCGCAGTTTTCCTTTGTGTGTATCCATAATATGTTCTCTACAGAGCAGTTGGAATAAAACGAGCAATTTGTGATACTCTGTGATTCGCACATGAAGTATACATGTTGCTAGGAATAAGTCGTACTCGTGCGGATGGTGTGTATACAGGAATGAAGCCACAAGGAAGAATAACATCGGTCAGGGGACGGAAAAATGTTTTGTTTGTGCTTTGTGCTGCCACCGCTGATGCTGATGCTGATCCGAGACCAGCCGACCCGTTGCCAAGCATTTAAATCGTTTTTGGCGTACCGAAAGTTGGCCTCTGGTGCTCAGGCTCAGGGGACGGGGGCACGTAATGCACAACAATGTGTACCAGCAGTCAGCGGTTTGAATGATGAATAATCGTGAGAATCGCTTCACGAAGGAGCCGCATGGTACTTTGATTGTGATGTGTGTGGAGGCGATGAAGGTTGATTAGACCGTATAATTACAGTAAAGCAATCATCAAATAATCCTTCATAGCCTGGTTTTCGTTTGAAAACACTTTCTAGCAAAAATTGTTTCAGTCGTTTGTTCCCGACAGCAAAATGAAATGAGAGACGCATGTGATCGAACGAGTTTTTCATTTTTTTCCAAAGTCGATTTCACAAAATCTAGCATGGTGATAGTTCTGAATTATTCATTAATTGTGTATTTGAAATGTTATTTAGATGTCCAATGGCTGACGTGATGAACTTATACTTTTGACGGCATAAAAAGTTCACATAACCAAGCTAAGATATTGCCTGTTGGGAGCCTGTTGACTTTAATCACATCAAACGTATCAGAATGAATGTTTAGAAATCAACCGAACAATAGATGTGGGTAGAATAAATTACCAATCACACCCTTCGGTAATTGCTCTATAAGTTGTTTAATAGTTGAAAATGCACCCTGCATACAATATTAAAGTAATTTAGGTCATGAAGATGTCACCGACTGAGAGATTGACTCACGTTTTTTCCTATGTTCGGAATTGATATTTTATGATATGGCGGAGGTCCTTAGTTAAGGCTTAGTGCATCGTTTCAAATTTATAAGACACGACTTAAGGGGAAGCTCACCGGCCCAAAAATAAAAAAATATTTTCGGTAAGTTTATATTTTTCTAAAAAAATAGGGAAAAATTATCAAAAATCCAAGAAAATCAGTTTCTTCCTTAGATTTTTGTCAAAAATTACATGCAAAAATTTTTTTCTATCCCATCATGAAAAAAAAATTGGACTTTCAGAAAAACCGAAAAGTTGATGTTTTGTGGTTTTTTGAGTCCAACTTTATGCCATAATGACTTATAAAACATGTTTTTACACGTGAATTTTCTTTAAAAAATTAGAAAAAAAGTGATTGACCGAGCCCACGGTCTGGGCCCGCTTAGATTGATATGTGATCATGTTTTTATGCTGGCTACGAAAAGAAGGCGGCGTGTTAGGCCCTTAGAATTAACGGATTTGAAGTTTTCCCTTAATACGACCCATCAAACGGCGCACAATGGTCTCGTGTACTGTTTTGGTAAATTTATCACACCAATTTTTCATCTGAACTGCCGTTTTGATGACTAGCGGTGTCTCATACCGGTTTTAAATTATGGTTATGACCAAAAAGCTCACTACTCCGAAATTTTTAGTTAAACTTCTCTAAGTTTTCCGAGTATGGTAAGAGACACTACTCTTAAATTTTCACCAGCTAAAGATAAGTAATTTTTATTTCAATAAAAGTAATTGAAAAAAAAAATTATCATTCGGAAAATAGTTTTCTCTGTTACTTTTGCAATTTTCCTCCACCATGAACATGGAGATATTGTTCAGTTTTCCTTTGACAAAAAAAAAAATTTATTCTACGATACTTGCTTCATGAGCTATTCATTTTCAAAGTATGTGAATTTCGGTAAAAATCAAAGAAGTTTAACCAACATTTTCCGGGACGTTAGCTTTTGGTCATAACTATAACTCAAAACCGGTATGAAACACCACTCTGAAATTATCAACAGTTAATGATAAGAAGAATGCTTGAAGATCAGAATATTTACAAAACATTTCATAACTATGACCATTGTCAGTTTTTCTTAGTTTTCCTTGCGATTTTTCTCCACCGTGAACATTTTCGTGGTAACATTTTTTCAGAGTATGAATTGACTATGCAATTCCCTAAACATTTGAGTGAAACAAAAATCTCAAACCTTCCAGTAAAATCTCATATCAATCCTTGAAAATTGAGATTTTTGAACTTCTATTAAGTTCCTTGTACTTAAAAAAATCCCAACACTTCTATGAAGTATTACAAAGTTCCTTTCATTGTTTGCTTGACTGTTACAAAGTTCTCAGAATTTCTATTATGTTCGCTGCACTTCTACAAAGTTCCCTGACTTTTTATGAATTTCGTTAATATTTAAAGAAATTCTTTGAAGTATCAGATTTCCTGATCTATTTTAAGCACATTAAACTTTAACAAAGTGCCCTGAACAGTGTTCACTCGGCTGTCGACAAAAGCAGGCCACTCTCTATGTGTGCTACGCGATCGTCTGTTTTCTTGGCAGCAACCATTGTGTGGTCCTCCTCATTGTTCTTCATCAGCAGTTCTTTCGGTCGATGCGTCGTCGACCTTGGAAAGCAACCGTTTCGTGATGAGTGTGTGAGTGCTGACCACGTTTTGCGTCCATTGCTGCAATGGACGCGCTCTGACCCTCGTTGGCGTAACTGTCATTTAATGAAACTACTGGAAGCGGCTCCAGTTTTGATGGAGGAGGCTTTTTGGATAGCAGAAGATGAAGTGTTTATTGTGTTGTACCTTTTGACTATAGTTTTAAGATGTATTGTATAGTGACCAAGAATCCTCGGCTCTGTAAAGTTAATTCGGTTGAGCCTTATCAAATAAATTAATGAAAAAAAAAAAAAAAAAAAGTGCCCTGAAGGTAAAAAAAAATAAACCGTAAAGTTAAACCAATTTTTAATAAGAAATACTCTAAAGCTCTACGAAGTTCTCCGAATTTATATTTACCTTAATAAATTTCTACGATGTTCTGCTGAATAAAATCCTTGACATTTTTAAAAGTATAATGAAATCAATGAAAAATCCCTGAGCTACATCGTAATTAGCTTAATTTCTCTAAAAGTCGCAAATTTTCAACAATGTTTGATGAAGTTCAACAAAGTTCAAGTTCTACAAAATTCTTTGAAGTTCTATTAATTTTAACTGAGCTGCTACATAGCTTGCGGAGCTTTTGCAAAGTTAGTTGAACTTCTATAACATGTGATGCACCTCTAGAAAGTTTCCAGAACATTTAGGCAGTTCAATTAATGAATGCAAAGTTTTCGAAAGTTCAACGAAGTTTCTTGAAATTCTGCAACGTTCTTTTTACTTTTAAGAAGCTCTGCGAGTTTCTACGTTTAAAAATTCTAATGTTTCAAAATTCTGACCCAATTATATAAGTCTGCAATAGTTCGCCAATAATTTGTAAATTAATAGGTGCTTAAAAGCACTTGAGCACTTTTGAAAGAAACACAACTCTGCGGAAACTCTAAGATGATTCTTGGGATTTTTTTTTTCAAAAAGGAAGGAACTCAAAAGAAATCCTATGAAGACCACGGGAAATAATATGGAAAATCAGGCACAGCAAATACTTCAAGATTTGAGACTACACATTTCGATTTTTTTACAGGAGTCAGAATTTTTACACTGGGTTTTTGAATTACTGAAAAACTCGGTTAAAAGTCAAATGACCGTTATTCGTAAAAAATTCGATAATATCGACAAATTTTATTTTTCATCATTAAACGGGGTTAAAAGAAGTAAATCTGTAAATTTTCGCATCTTTGAATTTTTCAAAGATTTTTTAAATTTTTCCGAACAGTTCCGCAATTCAAAAACACTGTAAAAATTACTGACTGGATAAGTGTGTACTAAACTGCTCAGAAAATGAAGTTTCTTGAGCTTCTCTAAATTTAGCTTCCTCTGAAGTCTGTAGAACTTATTTGAAATTCTGAAAATTTCTCCAAAAACAGAAATAAAATCATGATCCAGGATTCAGGAAAAACAAAGCTCAGGGTTTTGAAGAAACTTGTAATTTGATGACTTGACCTAAAATTTTGAAATATACTGATGTCGTGGATCAAAAAAAACCTTTATTTATTTACAATTTCAGGCGGACCAGTGAACCGAATAACTGGAAAATCGGATAATTGGAAAATCCAGGATAAAATCAGGAACCCGTGATCACTGGGAAAAATCCGAGAAAATCTCAGGAATTTCGATGAATAAACCTTCTAAGTTTTCAGAATACTGTCACTTTAAAGAAGTATTAAAATAATTTTTATGCTCCGAATTTTGAAGAGATTTTAGTTTAAATTCTTGGGATAACACCAATGTATTTTAGAGAAAAATTCCGAGGAAAGAACTCTAAGACGGTTTCTGACTAGAACTGCAAGTCAAAGGTAGTTTTTAGAAGAGCTTCATGTGAATTAAGGAAAGTTTAGAATTGAATTGTTTGGTTGTTCTGAGAAAAATTCCATGATGTTTGTGAAGAGAAATTCTGGTCCATTTCTAATTAATATTCCAAACATTTTCTGATAGTAACTTTAAAGATGATAATTTTAATGATATTCCGAGGCAATTCCAAAAAAATTCAAGGACAAATTACAAGGATATTTCAGAAATAATATCAGGTGAATTCTGAAGAGAGGTCCAACAAATATTATAAATTG